TTTCACCTTGGGTTTAGATACGCTTTAACTATATAAACCTTAGTAGATCAGCCACTAGAGGGAGCTCTCCACAGATCATTCATTTATTCTGCTTCACCTGCTGAGAAAAGATAACAATTATTTTCAGGAAACATGACAGTGATAACCTATAATATCTATGGAATTAAAGTATCTCATAGTTACATTTCATTAGAGACCTGTCCAGAGAGATATATGTGTAGGCTGTCATTGCTGACCTCTGCTTTTGAAGAATGCTAGCTGCATTGTCATTCTAATCCAATGGCTTCTGGATGTCCAGTGTCCTTGGTGTAAATACGAACAGGACCAGAATGATGGGATTGGCTAGAGTGGAAGTCTCTGTGTTTTGTTCAGAAAAGGTTTTCTTTCAGCGCAATGCTGCCAAACGAACCTGCAAAAGCGATGAAGTAAGTTAATACAGTTTTTAGAATCTATCATCAGTTTGTAGGTCAGAGGTGAGTGAAGGCAGGGACAGGGACATTAGATGAAGTATTGCACAGTAGGGCAGGGACAGCACAGTTCCCCTGTAGTCTGATTCCTGGATGTGCGCAGGGGGCTATTTCAGTCCTGGCCCTCTGTGTATCCAGCCAACTCCGTCCAGCTGCTTCACACTCAGTACACCTGATATATGATATGCTGCATAGGATGCTCTGCAACATGCACCCCACTCAAACATTGGAATATTTCCATACGTTAAGAACTTGAGGGGTTTATCACTAGAGGGGTCCCCAGCAGGAGGAAGGAGGTCCTGATCCCTCTATATAGATCTTTATTATCACTAGAGGGGTCCCCAGCAGGAGGAAGGAGGTCCTGATCCCTCTATATAGATCTTTATTATCACTAGAGGGGTCCCGAGCAGGAGGAAGGAGGTCCTGATCCCTTTATATAGATCTTTTTATCACTAGAGGGATCCCCAGCAGGAGGAAGGAGGTCCTCATTCTTCTATATAGATCTTTATTATCACTAGAGGGGTCCCCAGCAGGAAGAAGGAGGTCCTGATCCCTCTATATAGATCTTTATTATCACTAGAGGGATCCCCAGCAGGAGGTCCTGATTCCTCTATATAGATCTTTATTATCACTAGAGGGGTGTCCAGCAGGGGGAAGGAGGATTCCTCTATATAGATTTTAGTCACCATATCATATACTGTAATATGTAAACCATGATTAACACCCCACACTACATTTTATATATAACATAATTCTCCTATATAATACCACATCCTTGTAGTAAGACATCTCCAAATGCATTATCATTATCGTGAAGATTACTAGCATCCATAGAATGAATGGAGGAGCAGATGATTATTACAAATACTTGGTAGAAGGCTCAGACCCCCATTCTTCTTGCTGTCTGTGTCCTGATGGAGAGTTTCATCCTCTCTGTTTGTCCTGGTGACCAATGTCATTGGAATGGTAAATTTACACTTTTTACACATATCCCTAGAACAGGAATAGAGGAAATCTTCCAATAGGAACACATGTTCTGGTGACAACTGTCTAGGAGGGGATTTCCCCTCACTATGAAGAGATTTTCTTTCACTTCCTGTTGTATTTACATGGCAGGAAGTAAGGGAAAATCCCCTTACTTCCCCTGGCAAAAACAAACAACCCTTAATCAAAGTATGTGTGTATTATGTCCTGTCCTTCTGTCAGCTAATGCCACCAGATCCACCCACCCACCCACATACACTTGATGACTATACAGAAGTGGTAGAAGCTGCTGCAGGCAAAAAAGAGACAGTCTAACACAGCATTTATAAACATTGTCCGCGCAGGATATAGAAAAATACAAAGTAACATTGTTTATATACATTGATCAGAGGGAGATAGAGAGATACAAAGTAACATTGTATATAAACATTGATCAGAGGGAGATAGAGAGATACAAAGTAACATTGTATATAAACATTGATCAGAGGGAGATAGAGAGATACAAAGTAACATTGTATATAAACATTGATCAGAGGGAGATAGAGAGATACAAAGTAACATTGTATATAAACATTGATCAGAGGGAGATAGAGAGATACAAAGTAACATTGTATATAAACATTGATCAGAGGGAGATAGAGAGATACAAAGTAACATTGTATATAAACATTGATCAGAGGGAGATAGAGAGATACAAAGTAACATTGTATATAAACATTGATCAGAGGGAGATAGAGAGATACAAAGTAACATTGTATATAAACATTGATCAGAGGGAGATAGAGAGATACAAAGTAACATTGTATATAAACATTGATCAGAGGGAGATAGAGAGATACAAAGTAACATTGTATATAAACATTGATCAGAGGGAGATAGAGAGATACAAAGTAACATTGTATATAAACATTGATCAGAGGGAGATAGAGAGATACAAAGTAACATTGTATATAAACATTGATCAGAGGGAGATAGAGAGATACAAAGTAACATTGTATATAAACATTGATCAGAGGGAGATAGAGAGATACAAAGTAACATTGTATATAAACATTGATCAGAGGGAGATAGAGAGATACAAAGTAACATTGTATATAAACATTGATCAGAGGGAGATAGAGAGATACAAAGTAACATTGTATATAAACATTGATCAGAGGGAGATAGAGAGATACAAAGTAACATTGTATATAAACATTGATCAGAGGGAGATAGAGAGATACAAAGTAACATTGTATATAAACATTGATCAGAGGGAGATAGAGAGATACAAAGTAACATTGTATATAAACATTGATCAGAGGGAGATAGAGAGATACAAAGTAACATTGTATATAAACATTGATCAGAGGGAGATAGAGAGATACAAAGTAACATTGTATATAAACATTGATCAGAGGGAGATAGAGAGATACAAAGTAACATTGTATATAAACATTGATCAGAGGGAGATAGAGAGATACAAAGTAACATTGTATATAAACATTGATCAGAGGGAGATAGAGAGATACAAAGTAACATTGTATATAAACATTGATCAGAGGGAGATAGAGAGATACAAAGTAACATTGTATATAAACATTGATCAGAGGGAGATAGAGAGATACAAAGTAACATTGTATATAAACATTGATCAGAGGGAGATAGAGAGATACAAAGTAACATTGTATATAAACATTGATCAGAGGGAGATAGAGAGATACAAAGTAACATTGTATATAAACATTGATCAGAGGGAGATAGAGAGATACAAAGTAACATTGTATATAAACATTGATCAGAGGGAGATAGAGAGATACAAAGTAACATTGTATATAAACATTGATCAGAGGGAGATAGAGAGATACAAAGTAACATTGTATATAAACATTGATCAGAGGGAGATAGAGAGATACAAAGTAACATTGTATATAAACATTGATCAGAGGGAGATAGAGAGATACAAAGTAACATTGTATATAAACATTGATCAGAGGGAGATAGAGAGATACAAAGTAACATTGTTTATAAACATTGATCAGAGGGAGATAGGGAGATACAAAGTAACATTGTTTATAAGCATTGATCAGAGGGAGATAGAGATACAAAGTACAACTGCTTGTTGTGAAAGCTGAACTAGTTAACTGTGTGCTAAATCTATACTGTGTACAAGGACTGGCTGGCAGCAGTTGTGCAGTAAATTCCGGGAACACTTTACAGCTGAGCTGTAACATCCAAATCAGGTTCTTATTTGTTATTGTTTTTCAGTGATCTCGCAAAGGTTCTGTGATGTTTATTTAAAAAGGAGATCCATATAATTTATGGAACAGTTACCAGTGGCAGCTAATCCTTTATTTTATATATTTCTTTTTTTTTTAACATACTATTATTATTGCTTACCAATTTTTGTTACTATGTGCAGCAACCAAGAACTGTTTGTATATAATGCTGGGACGAATGTACAGGAGTTATTTTAGCAGTGTTCATTATCCTATCCCATGACAATTTCCCCATAAAAGTGTTCAATAGGTCATGTCAATGTAAAATATTGCATGTAAGTATGATGCAATCTTCGATTCATCCAGTAGGTGGCAGGATAATCTTCTTTTAGTATGTGAAGGATTGTATCATTCTCAGTCCTTAGGCACAAAACATACCCATATCAGTCTTCGAGTGTCAAGGATGTATAAAACAATAATAATAATAATATCAATAATAATAATAAAAATAAATAAATCAAACACAAATATGCCTTTAAAGAGTCTTGTATTCTTGGCAGGTTTAAAGTTGGTATTGTGCAAAATTAATTAAAACTGCATACAATTGGTAAAATTAGTTAATTTGCACGATAAAAATTCATTTTATTGAATGGAAGAAAAAAAAAATATTGGAAAACTAAAGCAAATACGATCCTTATTAGTCATGATGGCGCTGGACACATGGCTGAGCCTGTTGAACAGGAACAAAAAGACAGGAAATGACCTCATACTCATGTAGTTCCACCAGGACAGAGGTGGGCAACTCCGGCCCTTTAGCTTGTGCTTTAACTACAAATCCCAACATGCCTTTGAGAGTCATGCTTGTGGATGTCAGAGTCTTGCAATGCCTCATGGGACTTGTAGTGTGGAGTGCTGAGGTTGCCCAGCCCCTGCCACAGAGGTCAAGAGTTATGAGGGGTGCTTTTGTTTATTTACCAGTGTCAGGCCTTTGGGGCTCCATCGCTAAACACGTGTACAATTGCAGTTGGAGAACCTTTGCGGATTCTCTTACTTCACCACAAACGGACCAGAATAGAGCTTTGGCAATGTCTAATGACATGAAACACCCACAATGCTCCTAGTAGCTAGAGAGACCATGTCATCTACACCTAAGCTTTAGGTCAGAGAAGGAAGAATAGATGCAGCATTTTTTGTTTTCAGGGCAAGGAAGAGGGTTATGAACTGTTATGAAGGAAATGTGAAGGCCGTCACCACTGACCTCCTTCTAGGGGTGCTACTTGTGTTGAGATAAGCTGATCCTCAGGTTTCAGCAGTTACTGATTAACCTGCACTGTCTTCTGCTCCTCTCCAGACCTGGCACAAGGCGTGCTTCCATTGTGAAGTCTGCAAAATGATCCTCACCGTCAACAACTTCGTCAGCCACCAGAAGAAGCCGTATTGCCAGACGTAAGTCAGGACTCCATATTTAGGCTGATGACAGATACGCGTCCATTGTGTTCAACACCAAACTCCGGAGTTCAATCCCCAAAATCCCTCCGAGACCCCGAACTCTGGGCAACAATGTTTCTTATTTGTGTATCACTCGGCTGTACATCCTCCAATCATCTCTGATGGTGCTGACACAGTCCTTCCTTTTACGTCTATTCCCCATGATCCCTGTGTGTTTTGTAAAGTACTTAGTCACCGCTCCAAGCTCCGCCCCCGGGATGGACTACAATCTCAATACAAATCAGTCATCTAAACCTGAGATTGTAGTCCATCCCGGGAGCTTCTCTTTGCCGTATTTGTAGTTGAGTGGTTATTATGGGCAGCTGCTCCTGATTCTTCCTGCTCCCCGTTTGATAAATTCCACTCATTGTATCTCTTAAGGTGCCCATACACTTTACTACGCCTCGCAAGACTGTAAAGTACTTAAAAAAACGTACGATCTGCCCATCTTGGACAGGGGGGCGGGCTTGAGAGTGTATGGGCACCTTTACTTTTGTTATCTGATGTAATGACAAATAAACAGGCAAATAGTGGACATGAAAGAATTGCTCGAGTCCAGGGGTGGGCAACTCCGGCCCTCCAGCTGTTGTGGGACTACAAGTCCCATGAGGCATTGCAAGACTGACAGTTACAGGCATGCTGGGATTTGTAGTTAAAGCACGGCTGGGGGGGATGGAGTTGCCCACCGCTGCTCTAGTCCATAGAGGGATATAAGAAGCAGGAGAGTGAAGTTATTCAAGGGAATGTCTCAGCATTGAAATAAAGGGGGTTGCCTTTGGTGACTGCATGCTTTGGGGGCTGTCATCTATGTCCTTGCTTCACTAAGCAATGGAGAGTGAGGATGAGGATGACAGAGCTTCACATCCCGGCTTAGTAAGTCGTCGACCTGGAACAAGCATAACCATATCCGATGTCACATATACTTCTGTCTCCGGCCGTCCCCCAATGCGGTTCCCCAGCCGGCCTGGGGACCATCGCTGTCTATAGGGAGTAATAGAAAGACGACGCATGTGATGTATTGTAACCAGGGCAGCCATCAGTAAGGGTACGGCCGATACTCATGTAAGGGGCCCGGGCAGACTGGGGGGCCCGCCCGGGTCCCTTACATGACTATCGGCCGACGGTGAAGGATACACATGTCATTTATTTGACTGAATAATGACATTCATTAAATTCTCAATAAAAAAGAAAAAAACACTGAAAAAAGAAACAAGCCCAACAAACCCTAACTCGATTCATAAACCATTCAGCCAATGTTCTATATACTGCAGATATTTATAGGGTGCTGACAATTTCCCGCAGTGCATTACATACCGCACACTCACATCAGTCCCCGCCCCCGAGGAGCTTACAATCCAAGGTGCACTCAGGATACATGCACAGACAGTTCTAGATTGGATGACAAAGGGCAGAAAACACGAACATGGAAAGTAAACATTTCAATAAATTCCCATTAAAAATAACATTTCCTCTTCGGCTCCATGTGAAATAAAAGGCAATACAAATATCCCCAGCATTGGTTTAGCAGGAAAACGTCATTAAGCTCCTAAACTAATCCTTGGCACATTTCATGGTTTACCTGTATAGGGGTGTCTCTAGAATATTCACCACTTCAAGCAAGCTGGGGTGCTGCTCATGCACGTTACAGGGAGCGGGGTGCTGCTCGTGCACATTACTGGGAGGGGGCTGCTGCTTGTGCAGGTTACTGGGAGGGGGGTGCTGCTCGTGCACGTTACTGGGAGGGGGATGCTGCTCGTGCACGTTACAGGGAGGGGGGTGCTGCTCGTGCACGTTACTGGGAGGGGGATGCTGCTCGTGCACGTTACAGGGAGGGGGGTGCTGCTCGTGCACGTTACTGGGAGGGGGATGCTGCTCGTGCACGTTACAGGGAGGGGGGTGCTGCTCGTGCACGTTACTGGGAGGGGGTTGCTGCTCGTGCACATTACTGGGAGGGGGCTGCTGCTTGTGCAGGTTACTGGGAGGGGGGTGCTGCTTGTGCACGTTACTGGGAGGGGGTTGCTGCTCGTGCACATTACTGGGAGGGGGTGCTGCTTGTGCACGTTACTGGGAGGGGGTGCTGCTTGTGCACGTTACTGGGAGGGAGGTGCTGCTCGTGCATGTTACTGGGAGGGGGATGCTGCTCGTGCACGTTATTGGGAGGGGGTGCTGCTCGTGCACATTACTGCGAAGGGGTGCTGCTTGTGCACGTTACTGGGAGGGAGGTGCTGCTCGTGCATGTTACTGGGAGGGGGATGCTGCTCGTGCACGTTATTGGGAGGGGGTGCTGCTCGTGCACATTACTGGGAGGGGGGTGCTGCTCGTGCATGTTACTGGGAGGGGGGTTTGCTAGTGGTGGACATTACAGGGGGGCGGTTGCCGGCATCCTATGCCCCACCCAGCTGAGTAACCTCATTGGTTTCCAGGAGCTGGGCGTCACAGGTTGCTGAGAACTCTTAGCAGTCCCAGCACTGAAAGGGTTAAGTGCTAAAATAACAAAGGTATACTCACCAGAACCTCACTGCTAGACCCGTCCCTGCAGCCTCGCTCCCCCTTAGCTCCAGCAATGAAGTGTTCCTCGGTGTCCTCACGTGCTATACACTGCATTGGATGTGCGGATGTACAATGGAATGTGAAATGTAACAAGTTACTCTGAGTTCATGTGGGGAGATCGATGTATCATTATCAGGTGATGTCATGTGACACAAATGTATCTTTTCTCTCTGCAGCCACAACCCCAAAAATAACACATTCACCAGCGTGTATGAAACCCCCGTCAACATACGTGTGAAGAAACAGTCGGAGGCCGTCAGTGAGGTCAGTGAATGAATGATATCAGGACAACTTAGATGTGATCCCCGACTGGGTGACATTTGCTCTGCTCTGCGCACTGCGGATCATCAACAGCTGACATCATTGTTTCATAAAGTCCAGCTTTCACATTTTTATGTCATATCAGTGCTGCTCATCTCCTGCAGCCTCTGTGCAGCCACTTCCTGTCTACCTGCACTCCAGTGATGGCTGCCATGGCATTTCTCAGGGCAGGTTTCCTGAGAAAGGGAGTTCCGGGGACATTATCAGGGGTAAGGGGTAATATAAAGGGGATAGGAGGGGAGTCCGGGGGCATTATCAGGGGTAAGGGATAATATAAAGGGGACAGGAGGGGAGTCCGGGGACATTATCAGGGGTAATATAAAGGGGACAGGAGGGGAGTCCGGGGACATTATCAGGGGTAAGGGATGATATAAAGGGGACAGGAAGGGAGTCCGGGGGCATTATCAGGGGTAAGGGGTAATATAAAGGGGACAGGAGGGGAGTCCGGGGACATTATCAGGGGTAAGGGGTAATATAAAGGGGATAGGAGGGGAGTCCGGGGATATTATCAGGGGTAAGGGGTAATATAAAGGGGATAGGAGGGGAGTCCGGGGATATTTGTCGACTGAACTTTCACTTTCTCAAACACTTCATCCCATCACAGCTGCCACCGCTTGTATCACTGGCCCCTCCCTTTTAGATTGTAAGCCCTCAGGGGCGGGGCCCTCCTCACTATCTTGTCTTGAATTATACTGTGATTGTAATATCTTCCTTATATTGTACAGCGCTGTGAAAATGTTGGCGCCATATAAATCCTGTATTATAATAATAATCTGGTGGATACATATTGGGATGGATCCGGTGCCGATGACTGAAGACGATTTGTGTCATCATGTGACCGAGCGGCGCAGAGCCCTCCATTGTGCGGTCAGGACGGCCGCTCCGTTCATAGCTGCGATCCTCCAGACGGGTAACAATGTCTCCTCCGGTGGTCACACAACAGCTGCCCGCCACGGCCAGACACAATAATGAGGCTCAGGGGGTCCCCGCTGCAGGTCCCCGCTCCCCCTTCAGCAGGCCGCCTGTGTTCTGGAATGTTCCCGGTATTCCCGTCTATTTTTATGTCATGGCTGAGATGTGACAGCGGTTATTTACAGAGCGGCCGTTTCCTTCCCGGCTCTCCACTTCCAACTTCTGTCCCTGTCAATCACCCCGCGGGCATCGGTCACCCAACACCAGGGCGGGGCGCCGGGTTATATGGCACCGGGGAGCATGTGTGTGCGGACTGCCTCCCTCTCCCAGTGAAGGACTCCTCGTCTCTCTGAGAAGCATTAAAGTGGACCTGTCAGTACTGAGCCACCTCCTAAAAATCTATAGCCGGGAGGACACATGAATACTAACATGTAACTATGTTTGCACTATGGTGATACATTTCCATTCTTCTGGAGATAATGATACACTGTTGCAGCGCTGTGATCATTAAAGGAGAACTATGAGGGGGGGAGTGGGGGGGGGGGGCTTTTCACTCACCTCATAGTTCTAGCCGACCTGTGGCAATGAGACTGTCCCAGGTCGGCTCAGTAGATCGGGAGGTGAGAGAACACATACCGGGTTCGCTCGCCTCTCGATCCTGTCGCGGCTCTCTGCCGTGACAGGGGGAGGGGCTGGATTCCCCTCTCCCTGCTCCGATCTGCCAGCGCTGACTTGCTGGACGGACGGGGGAGGGGGCGGGTACAGCTGGCTCTGCCTCTAGATAGGCAGGGCCATCTGTCACTCACGCAGCTGGGCGGATCCCGTCATCTAAGTCGTGATCCGCTCCGGCTGCGGCGTCTCAGTATACCGCGAGCTGTAGCTCTCTATATACTGAGCTTAGGGTGACGGGAGGCCGCTAGTTTGTGTCCTCCCGTTACCCTAAGGAGAACTATGGGGAAAAACACTGACCCCATAGTTCTCCTTTAATAAATCAATCAGCACAATTCCTTCAATGAGTCAGTGTCTGTACCTGAATCTGACTTGGTATCAGCCTCCTGTGGCCAATCGGTGGTGCTGCAGTGCTCATTGGCTAACGTGCTGATAGGAGCGGAGAGCAGAGGGACAGAGAGATGAGCTCATCAGTCTGCTGCTTTTCCATTCACTGTCCAGTCATAGGATGAATAAAGGGACAGGACCTGCAATTTTGACTTTACTGCTGCAGATACAAAAATCAGGTCTACTGCCCTACCAGCCAGGGGGCTGTGCTGTGTGACCGAGCGGTGTAAGGCTCGGTGAGCTGTTTTCGGGCGTTTCCGTTTGCGCGACCGCGCTTTAAAAAACACACAGTTTTCAATGCATAGAGATGTCTGTGGGACCCAAGCCGCGTGACAGCCGTGCGAAAATAGCTCCGGCACCTCTTTGCGCGGCAGGCGATTTCGTCCGCACGACAAACCGCAAAGGTGTGAACAGCCTCCATTGGCGAATCTGTGTTTTGCGCGATATCGCGCGACTCAACCCACGCCATAAATCGACTAGGTGTGCACCGAGCCTAAGGCCAAGTTCATACCTGGGTGATCCGTGACCGTGCGGCAATCGTGCATGATACCACGTGGATTGCCGCGCAGTCATCCGAGTCGGCCACCACCGACGCTCGCGCGGTGGGTGCCATTATTTTCTAATGGCACCCCAGTCGCGCCGGGCAGATCGCGCAGTTTCCCGCCGCGATTCTGCCTGTGAAACCGAACGTTAAAACAGCCGCGTGTTGTGTATCTAAAAAAAAAAAAGGTACATGTACCTTTTTTCTGCAATTGCTGCGCAGATCTACCCCATTGAGATCAACGGGGCCACGCGGCAATCACTGCCTGCAATTGTGCGCGACCGCGCGATCCCGGGACGCTCAGGTCTGCTCCGGCCCTGAATCTCAGGACTGGATGGACAGACATAACAGCCAAGCTCCCGCGTGTGTCTTCCTTCTCCGCGTCAGCTCAGGTTATCGGCAGTGTGAACGATCTGATCATGTGTGCGTTCACCTAATTTCTATGTGTACAGTTATACAGGAACACGGGGAGGCCGCATTCCATTTCACACATCAACGTTCTGCTTCTATCATGTGATCATCTTTCCTACTTTATGTTCCGGCAGATCAAGTATCGGGAGGACGGGGAGCGTCATAAGTCCGTCTTCCTCTGGGATGCAAAGTCCAGTGTACAACATGAGCAGAAGACAGAGAAGGTGCTCAGACAGGTATGATCTGTGCTAGGAGCCCCCCTTACCCCCCCCCACCCCCACTGTCCTCCACCCCCACTGTCCTCCACCATTACCACTGTCCTCCACCATCCTCTACTGTCCTCCACCATCCTTTACTGTCATCTACTGTCCTCTACCATCCTCTACTGTCCTCCACCATCCTCTACTGTGCTCCACTGTCCTCTACCATCTTCTACTGTCCTGCACCATCCTCTACTGTCCTCTACCATCCTCCACTGTCCTCCACTGTCCTCCACCATCCCCTACTGTCCTCCACCATCCCCTACTGTCCTCCACCATCCTCTACTGTCCTCCACCATCCTCTACTGTCCTCCACTAGCCTCTACTGTTCTCCATTATCGTCTTTTGTCCTTAACCATTCTCTACTTTCCTCCACCATCCTCCACTATCTTCTACTGTCCTCCGTCATCCTCCACGGTCTTCCACCATCCTCTGCTGTCCTCCACCATCCTCCACCATCCCCTACTGTCCTCTACCATCCTCTACTGTCCTCCACCATCCTCTACTGTCCTCCAACATCCTCTACTGTCCTCCACTAGTCTCTACTGTCCTCCACTAGCCTCTACTGTCCTCCACTAGCCTCTACTGTCCTTAACCATTCTCTACTGTCCTCCACCATCCTCCACTATTTTCTACTGTCCTCCGTCATCCTCCACGGTCTTCCACCATCCTCTACTGTCTTCCACCATCCTCCACGGTCTTCCACCATCCTCCACGGTCTTCCACCATCCTCCACGGTCTTTCACCATCCTCCACGGTCTTTCACCATCCTCTACTGTTCTCCACCATCCTCTACTGTTCTCCACCATCCTCTACTGTCCTCCACTACCCTCTGCTGTCCTACACCCTCCTCCACTGTCCTCCACCATCCTCTACTGTCCTCCACTATCCTTCACTGTCCTCTACCATCCTCTACTGTCCTCCACCATCCTCCACAGTCTTCCACCATCCTCTACTGTCTTCCACCATCCTCCACGGTCTTCCACCATCCTCCACGGTCTTTCACCATCCTCTACTGTTCTCCACCATCCTCTACTGTCCTCCACTACCCTCTGCTGTCCTACACCCTCCTCCACTGTCCTCCACCATCCTCTACTGTCCTCCACCATCCTTCACTGTCCTCTACCATCCTCTACTGTCCTCCACCATCCTCCACAGTCTTCCACCATCCTCTACTGTCTTCCACCATCCTCCACGGTCTTCCACCATCCTCCACGGTCTTTCACCATCCTCTACTGTTCTCCACCATCCTCTACTGTCCTCCACTACCCTCCGCTGTCCTACACCCTCCTCCACTGTCCTCCACCATCCTCTACTGTCCTCCACCATCCTTCACTGTCCTCTACCATCCTCTACTGTCCTCCACCATCCTCCACAGTCTTCCACCATCCTCTACTGTCTTCCACCATCCTCCACGGTCTTCCACCATCCTCCACGGTCTTTCACCATCCTCTACTGTTCTCCACCATCCTCTACTGTCCTCCACTACCCTCCGCTGTCCTACACCCTCCTCCACTGTCCTCCACCATCCTCTACTGTCCTCCACCATCCTTCACTGTCCTCCACCATCCTCTACTGTCCTCCACCATCCTCCACTATTTTCTACCGTCCTCCGTCATCCTCCACGGTCTTCCACCATCCTCTACTGTCCTCCATCATCTTCCACAGTCTTCCACCATCCTCTACTGTCTTCCACCATCCTCCACGGTCTTTCACCATCCTCTACTGTTCTCCACTACCCTCCGCTGTCCTACACCCTCCACCACTGTCATTCACTGTCCTTCACCATCCTCTACGGTCCTCCACCATCCTCTACTGTTTTCCACCATCCTCCCCGGTTCCATATCTATGTCTTCTGTAGATCAGGGTACTCTGTTCATTGTTGTATGTTCTTTATTCACAGAAGGCCTATGAAGAAGGAAAGTCCTGGTTCTCGGATATTAGCCCAGACATGGTTCACATTGAGCAGGCTCAGAAGACGCTGAACAATGTAAGATTCTCTCTAAAATCCAAATGTTTCCCTTTACACAAGGTGTATTGGGTGGTCATACAAAAAATCAAGTTGTCTCTTGAAACAGGAGCCATTTGTGTGACAGAATGCTGATGTGTGAAGTGAAGGATGTCCCGAGGATGTTTCATTTTATTTCAGCATGCGCCAATCATGTTGGTGTGAGCTGAACTCATAGGACATAAGGACTAATATGACAAAGTGCCTTGTTCTTGCATTGAGACTTCATTGGGCAGCACAGCCCATCACTGCCGGTGTGTCCGAGCCCTAACAGTAGCCCCGTAGGCCTAGTTATCATTGTGTGTGATGGCCGGTTGCCATTGCTCCCTTAGTGGGTTACCATGAAGGTTTGGTAATACCGGTGATGTGTCATAAAGCAGAAAAATAGGAACCTGGAAGGTCTTGTAGGTACCGCAGTTACCTCTCATTGTGGTATCATCAGGGCCCTTGACAAGGACGGCTTGTGTCTGAAATGGGGCCCATGCCGTTTTGCTACATGGGAAGTAGCTTTCAACACAGGGAGCATGCACACCGAGTATCATTCTGATCTCCTCCCTGATCCTGCCCTGCCCTACTGATGTGTAATACACTGACTGACGGACAGCCATAGTATGTATACAGCGGATCATATACAATGTCAGTGTCCTCTCTTGCCAGGTTCAATACACAGATGAGTTCGAACAACAGACAAGAAAAGGAAGCTTCCCGGCCATGATCACTCCGGCTTACCAGACAGCCAGAAAGGCTGCTCACCTGGCCAGCAATGTAAGTCAATGTTGTTGGGGGCCTCCTTGATCATCGTGTTGGAGGCATTGGAGGCGATCTCTCTAGTCACTGTGTTGGAGAAAGCCTCCCTGGTCATTCTGACGGAGAAGGCCTCTCTGTACACTGTATTGAGTGTGGCTTCACCAGTCACTGTGATGGGTGTGTATGTTGCCAAAAAGTCAGTCACCTGGAGAGCAATGTAATTCACTGAGGGTGGTATTGGGAGAGGTCTCCCCAGTCATTGCATTGGGGTTGGTCTCACCGGTCAATATGATGAAGGAAGTATCCCAGTCACTGTGCTGGAGGTGGTATCCCCAGTCACCATGTTGGAGGCAGTCTTCTTGGTCAGTATTTTGGAGGTGGTGTTCCTAGTCTCTGTGTTGGAGGCAGTCTCCCCAGTCACTGTGTTGGAGGTGGTCTTCCTGGTTACTATGTTGGAGGAAGTCTCTCTGGTCACTATGTTGGAGGAAGTCTCCTTAGTCACTTTGTTGGAGGTGGTCAACTTGGTTACTAGGTTGGAGGCAGTCTCCCCGTGCACTATTCTACAAGGGTTCTCCTTGGTTATTATGTTGAAGGTGGTCTCCCTGGTCACTATGTTGGAGGCAGTCTTTCTGGTCATTATGTGGAAGGCAGTCTCCCCATTCACTATGTTGGAGGTGATCTCCACTGTCACCATATTGGAGGCTGTCTTCTTGGTCAGTATTTTGTTTGTGGTGTCCCCAGTCTCTGTGTTAGAGGCAGCCTCCCCAGGTCCCTGTGTTGGAGGTGGTCTTCCTGGTTACCATGTTGGAGGTGGTCTCCCTGGTCACTATTTTGGAGGTGGTCTCCCTGGTCACTATGTTGGAGGTTGGCTCTTTGGTTATTATGTTGGTGGTGGTCAACTTGGTCACTAGATTGGTGGCAGTTTCCCTGTGCATTATTCTGCAAGTGTTCTCCTTGGTTATTATGTTGGAAGTGGTCTCCCTGGTCACTATGTTGAAGGTGGTCTCCCTGGTCACTATGTTAAAGGTGGTCTCCCTGGTCACTATGTTGAAAGTGGTCTCCCCAGTCACTATGTTGGAGGTGGTCTCCCTGGTCACTATGTTGAAGGTGGTCTCCCCGGTCACTATGTTGAAAGTGGTCTCCCCAGTCACTATGTTGGAGGTGGTGTCCCTAATGACTGTGTGCCAAACATAGTCAATGGTGGTGACCATTGACTATGTTTGGTACAGTCTCCCCACTCACTTTGCTTTTCTAATGGTTTGCTCACTTCATCCAGAGAATATCCCTCACATACACTCAGTGTCTTCCTTCTCGTGGCAGGTGGAGTACAAGCGCGGACACGAGGAACGCATCTCCCAGTACAGCAGCGTCGTGGACACCAAAGATATTTTGCATGCCAAAGCAAGCGGACAGAACCTGAGCGATGTGAGTCCCAGACTCTGTTATGTGCTCTCTCACATTGATTCTCACATTGATTCCCTCTCTCTGATATCTCTGTACGTTGTCTCGGATCTTCAGGTGAAATACACAGAAGATTACGAGGAGCAGCGCGGGAAAGGCAGCTTCCCGGCATTGATTACACCCGGCTACCAGATCGCCAAGAAAGCCGCGGAGCTAGCCAGTGACGTGAGTTATGACTTTGGATAGACATTCGACTGTCCCATAGATGTAGGGTTGCCACCTTTTCTTCAAGTGAAAAACCCGAACACTCTAGCAAAACGTGAACATTTTTTGGGGAGAATGAGTCGTGGCTTATTCATATGTAAATATTACAGTTGAGACTATTTTCAGTGGGGGCCCCAGTAGCCAGTATCTTAATTTTGGTTGCCCCTGTCTGCCTGACATCTTGTTTCTGGGTTTCTCCTGCCATGAAACCTGGACACAGCATTCAAAACCCGGACTGTCCAGGTGAATCCTGGACAGGTGGCAACCCTACATAGATGCCAACTGTGCTAGATTTGCCGGGACAGTCTTGCATCATGGCCCTGCTATGTCCCAAACCACCTCCCGGGATCACAGCACCAACCTTATTTGAGTAATTCAAAAAGACATTCATTGCAGGGATCGGGGCAGTCAGTGGACTGTCCCCACATATTTAGAGGAGGGGTCTGGGTGGGATTAATCCATAAAGTTGTCATGTTCTGGGCATGTCCAACCATAAAGTGGGCAGACAAAATCCAAAGGATTTGAAGGGAAGGATGGAGGTCATATATAAGTCTGAAGGGAGGGACAGAGGTCAGAAATATGACTGAAGAAAAGGACGGAGGTCAGATATAAGACTGAAGGGAAGCATGGAGGTCAGATATAAGACTGAAGGGAAGGACGGAGGTCAGATACAAGACTGAAGGGAAGGACGGAGGTCAGATACAAGACTGAAGGGCACGACGGAGGTCAGATAGAAGACTGAAGGGAAGGATAGAGGTCAGATGTAAGACTGAAGGGAAGGACAGAGGTCAGATGTAAGACTGAAGGGGAGGACGGAGGTCAGATGTAAGACTGAAGGGAAGGGCGGAGGTCAGATATATGACTAAAGGGAAGGGCGGAGGTCAGATATAAGACTGAAGGGGAGGGCGGAGGTCAGATAGAAGACTGAAGGGAAGGTTAGAGGTCTTATATAAGACTGAAGGGGAGGACGGAGGTCAGATACAAGACTGAAGGGAAGGACGGAGGTCAGATATATGACTAAAGGGAAGGGCGGAGGTCAGATATAAGACTGAAGGGGAGGGCGGAGGTCAGATAGAAGACTGAAGGGAAGGTTAGAGGTCTTATATAAGACTGAAGGGGAGGACGGAGGTCAGATACAAGACTGAAGGGAAGGACGGAGGTCAGATACAAGACTGAAGGGCACGACGGAGGTCAGATAGAAGACTGAAGGGGAGGGTGGAGGTCAGATATAAGACTGAAGGGAAGGACGGGGGTCAGATACAAGACTGAAGGCGAGGACGGAGGTCAGAAATAAGATTGAAGGGAAGGATGGAGGTCAGATATAAATTACATTAGGCGGTCATGAAATATACAATCAATGTGTATTGGAGTTCTCCTTTAAACTTTGCTTGTAACTTTCCAGAGGGCTCCGGCTGCCAGCCGCGGGGACTGTGTGATTTCCTGTCGGAAGATCCGTCCAGCCCTCTATCCGTTGCTGGCCAAGTTCCGAGCACATCAACCGTTGCGCAATTCACCAGAGCCCCTTCAAACGCCAGTCTCCCCCTCCGTCCCCCCTTAGGGCAAGACAGCTGGCAGCCCACCACGGCACAAGCGTTCTGCCGCCCCGGCCTGCCGGCGTGGGGGGCCGACGTTCCTGAATGTGACAGCGTGCGGACAAATGATCCGCGTTGCTGGAGATGGGGATCGTCACGTCCCCGCCGGCACGCGGCCCCTCTCCCGTTCGTCTAATGTTGGTCGCCCGGTTGCGGTGGCATTTTTACTGACGCTTATTCTCTCTTGTCTCGGCGCCAGGTGAAGTATCACCAGCGATATCACAGGGAGATGAAGGGAAAAGCGAGCGCGACAGATGTGGCGTTTACTAAACAAACTGCAGATGAGCTGAGCCAGGTACGTGACACCCAGCGGGACCAGCGGCGCTGTCAATCTATGGATGCAGCCACCTGTCTCTCACCCCCCCAATCTTCTCCCATCCCGCCAATCCCCTGCGGTCTTTACATAAATCAGACACGAATCAAAGTCAGAATTCGCCGTCTTTGATAGGATCTTACAAACCTTCAGCACAACACATCCTGAAATCAGATCATCCGCGATTGATTCGCCTTCCCCTGACACTGATCAATGGCGCCAATCCGGAAACCCCCCCTCCGCTTCCCTCCCAGGAATCCCCCCGCGATATCTGCCGGGGCAACCTGAAAGTAAAAGGGCCACTGCACCCAAAAATGATCCTCAACTTTCTGGTGGATGATGGAAAGTTAAACCAACTGACAGATTCTTCTGTCTCTCTGCTTGTGAGATCCCTGCAAGTTCCCGGGTCTGTACACCTGCTGTGCCCATTATGAGGGGCCCCCACCATCCCTGTGCTGAGTTCCCGGGTCTGTACACCTGCTGTGCCCATTATGAGGGGCCCCCACCATCCCTGTGCTGAGTTCCCGGGTCTGTACACCCGGGTCTGTACACCCGCTGTGCCCATTATGAGGAGCTCCCACCATCCCTGTGCTGAGATCCCGGGTCTGTACACCCGCTGTGCCCATTATGAGGGGCTCCCACCATCCCTGTGCTGAGTTCCCGGGTCTCTACACTTCCTGTGCCACATGTCATTGTACATCTGTGATAACACATGGCAGAACATATATAACACTCGCACATTATCATGGCACACCTGTGTGAACGGGCTCTCGGCTTGCTGTGGGATGTGAATGTTCCCGGTTTATAAATGAGAATTGTTACTGTTGCAGTTTTTGTGCAGTGACATATTTGCAGACAGTTCTTAGTGCGAGATACTTTCCGAGTCCGAGGATTCTACACACAGGGAAGCACACTGACAGCTCCCGCAGGCGCCCTCTGGTGGCAGCATTCAAAGTGACAAGTAAAGCAGGTGTACAGACCCAGGAACTCAGCACAGGGATGGTGGGGGCCCCTCATAATGGGCACAGCAGATGTACAGACCCGGGAACTCAGCACAGGGATGGTGGGGGCCCCTCATAATGGGCACAGCATGGGGTACAGACCCGGGAACTCCGGGATCTCATAAATAGAGCCCTCAAGGGGGAATAAGGGGGCTCAGTTCTCCTACATCTCCATAAAGGTGGAATGTATAGTTTTGGAGTGGTGTACCTATAAAAGTGTCTGGCAGCCATCAGATAATACTTAGTAAGTCCCCCCCCCGGTGTGTACAGCACATACATCTCATGGTGTACATAGCACATACATCTCATGGTGTACATAGCACATACATCTCATGGTGTACATAGCACATACATCTCATGGTGTACATAGCACATACATCTCATGGTGTACATAGCACATACATGAGGTGTAATTCTTGTGATTGGATGGATTTCGGTATTGATTATGATCGGTTCTTCTCCCTGCAGGAATATGACGAGGAGGAGGAGTACAGGGGGAAGGGCAGTTTCCCGGCGATGATCACCCCCGCCTACCTCAATGCCAAAAAGGCCAACGAGATGATCAGTGATGTGCGTATTCTCTACGTTAGAGGAAATAGAAATCTGTTTGCTCCTCGGCTCCATCTAGTGGCATCAATGCTGCGTGAGCAGCGTTCATCCAACCATACACACGGGTGAACCCTTTATAAATCGGCCCCTAATTGTGGGATCATTTCTTCAGTACGACTAATCTCAGTGCGGAATTTAGGTGTCAAAAATTTGTGGAAATGGTTCATCTCCGTAAGTGAAAAATGATTACTTTCACTAAAGCTCCTCCCCCTTCTGGTGCCAAAACATGCTAACTCTAATGTCAACCTCAGCGCAAACCCCCCAACCCTCAATTTTGATATAGTGATCACATGACTTCGCTTATACACAAAGGGTTAGGGTTAGAATTAGAGCTAGGTTTCGTGTTATTGTATGGGACAGGGTCAGGGTTAACATTAGGGGCAGAGTTAGGTTTAGTATTAGCCTTATTGTTAGCATTAGGGTTAGTGTTGGGGTTAGGGTTAGGCATAGAGTTATGCTTAGTGTGAACTTCAGGGTTAAGGTATAGGATAGGAGAAGTGTAAGCTTTGGGGTTAGCATTAGGGGTGGGGTTAGGCTTAGTGTTAGAGTTAGAATTAGGGTTATTGCTACAGCAGGGGTGCCCATAAGGTCGATCACAGCGAACACTGGTAGATCGCGATCGGCTCACTGACCTGTTTCCTGCCCTCCCGCGGTGCTCGTGCGGCTGAATGTGTCTAACACTGCAGACGGGAAGGGGCTGGACATCTCTCCCAGTCTGCACATTCAGCCACACGAGCACCGCGGGAGTACAGGGCACCGGCGCATGAGAGCAGACCTGGGAAGCAGCTGCAGTGGAGGTAACAAAAGACAGACAGGAGAGAGACAGCAGAGAAAGTGAAAAAAGAGACAGCCAAGAGAGAGAGCCGGTTCGCACCACAAAGTCTGCGTTCCATAGTGTTCGGCCTCTAGAGCGCACTGGAACGCAAGCCTGCTGGCTCCCTGCGTTAAGGGGTGGGAGGGGGCATGGCGGTGCATTGTAGTCAGTGGCACCGCAGCCACGCCTGCAGCATGATCACATTAGTGCCTGCGTTCTGGTCCAGTGCGATCTGCAAAAATAGCAGCACTAATGTGCCTGCTTTCCAGGTGCGGGTGATCGCACTGCGGGCGAGGGGCGTGGCTGCAGAGCCATTGACTTCAATGCACCGCCCAGGGCCGGCGCTACCATACAGGCAGCACAAGCGGCCGCTTGAGGGCGCTGGTGGGGGAGGGCGGGAAAACACCTCCTCACCCAGCTCCCTCTGCTGTCGGCTCTCTCCGGAGCCGCGGTATTTACATATGAACGGGTCGCGGCTTATTGATAAGCAAATTACCGCATGCCAATTCATATGTAAATATTGCGGCTCATTCATATGCAAATCGCTGCTCCTCCCCCCCTCCCCCGCTGCTAAGGAAGAAGAAACTGCCTGAAGACTGCAAGAACAAGGTCAAGTTAAGGTGTATACCTTTCTTACATTGGCGGTCATTGTGCAAACTTTCGTTACATTGGCGGTGTTAGTATTTGGGGGTGGGGCGGTAAAATGCACCTTCGCCTGTGTAGGCAAAACACCTGGCACCGCCACGCCCCCTCCCGGCCCTGAACGCAGGTGTTTTTTTGTTGGTAGATCTCATTGAGCTCGTCATTTGAAAAGTAGATCTCCAGACGAAAAATGGTGGCCGCCGCTGTCGTACAGGATAGGGTTAATGTTAGGGTTAGAGTTAGGCTTAATGGTAGAGTTAGGGTTAGTGTTAGCTTCAGAGTTAGCATTAGGGGTGGAGTTAGGATTAGTGTTAGCATAGTGGTTAGCTTTAGGGTTAGTGTTAAGTTTAGAGGTATTCCTACAGTTAGGGACAATGTAAGCTTTAGGTTTAGAATTACAGTAAAGGATAGGGGTTAGTGTTGGGGTACATGGTAAGCGTTAGGGTTAGAGTAAGAGGTAGACATAATCTTAGGCTCAGTGTTAGGATAGGTAGGGTCAGCATTAGGGATGGAGTCAGGCTTGGCGTTAGGGTTACAGGTATCCTTACAATTAGGGTCAATGTAAGCTTTAGGGTCAGTGTTAGGGTGACGCTGAATGCCCGTGAACATAAAAACTAAATATCGGCATTGTTTCCATCAGCTCTACAACATTCCGCTCCTCCCTCACATGCGGCCGATGACCTTTCAGTTCTCTTGCTGCTCATATATCTCACGGATAGTTTGATTTTTTTTCCTCCTCAGATCAAATATAAGAAGGATCTCTCCAAGATGCGCGGGGCGGCCCACTACCACTCTCTGGCCACCGAGGACAACCTGACCATGAAGCAAGCTCAGAGCGTGAACAAACTTGTCAGCGAGGTAGCTGAAGCAAGATACACTTATATAGCGCTGACATATACCACGGTGCTGTACGGAGAGCACTGAGCTAGTCACATCAGTCTCTGTACAGAGGAGCTTACACTCTAATGGCCCCCCCCACAGTCACATCAGTCTCTGTACCGAGGAGCTTACACTCTAATGTCCCCTCCCCCCACAGTCACATCAGTCTCTGTACCGAGGAGCTTACACTCTAATGTCCCCTCCCCCCACAGTCACATCAGTCTCTGTACCGAGGAGCTTACACTCTAATGTCCCCTCCCCCCACAGTCACATCAGTCTCTGTACCGAGGAGCTTACACTCTAATGTCCCCTCCCCCCACAGTCACATCAGTCTCTGTACCGAGGAGCTTACACTCTAATGTCCCCTCCCCCCACAGTCACATCAGTCTCTGTACCGAGGAGCTTACACTCTAATGTCCCCTCCCCCCACAGTCACATCAGTCTCTGTACCGAGGAGCTTACACTCTAATGTCCCCTCCCCCCACAGTCACATCAGTCTCTGTACCGAGGAGCTTACACTCTAATGTCCCCTCCCCCCACAGTCACATCAGTCTCTGTACCGAGGAGCTTACACTCTAATGTCCCCTCCCCCCACAGTCACATCAGTCTCTGTACCGAGGAGCTTACACTCTAATGTCCCCTCCCCCCACAGTCACATCAGTCTCTGTACCGAGGAGCTTACACTCTAATGTCCCCTCCCCCCACAGTCACATCAGTCTCTGTACCGAGGAGCTTACACTCTAATGTCCCCTCCCCCCACAGTCACATCAGTCTCTGTACCGAGGAGCTTACACTCTAATGTCCCCTCCCCCCACAGTCACATCAGTCTCTGTACCGAGGAGCTTACACTCTAATGTCCCCTCCCCCCACAGTCACATCAGTCTCTGTACCGAGGAGCTTACACTCTAATGTCCCCTCCCCCCACAGTCACATCAGTCTCTGTACCGAGGAGCTTACACTCTAATGTCCCCTCCCCCCACAGTCACATCAGTCTCTGTACCGAGGAGCTTACACTCTAATGTCCCCTCCCCCCACAGTCACATCAGTCTCTGTACCGAGGAGCTTACACTCTAATGTCCCCTCCCCCCACAGTCACATCAGTCTCTGTACCGAGGAGCTTACACTCTAATGTCCCCTCCCCCCACAGTCACATCAGTCTCTGTACCGAGGAGCTTACACTCTAATGTCCCCTCCCCCCACAGTCACATCAGTCTCTGTACCGAGGAGCTTACACTCTAATGTCCCCTCCCCCCACAGTCACATCAGTCTCTGTACCGAGGAGCTTACACTCTAATGTCCCCTCCCCCCACAGTCACATCAGTCTCTGTACCGAGGAGCTTACACTCTAATGTCCCCTCCCCCCACAGTCACATCAGTCTCTGTACCGAGGAGCTTACACTCTAATGTCCCCTCCCCCCACAGTCACATCAGTCTCTGTACCGAGGAGCTTACACTCTAATGTCCCCTCCCCCCACAGTCACATCAGTCTCTGTACCGAGGAGCTTACACTCTAATGTCCCCTCCCCCCACAGTCACATCAGTCTCTGTACCGAGGAGCTTACACTCTAATGTCCCCTCCCCCCACAGTCACATCAGTCTCTGTACCGAGGAGCTTACACTCTAATGTCCCCCCCACAGTCACATCAGTCTCTGTACAGAGGAGCTTACACTCTAACGTCCCCTCACAGTCACATAGGTCTCTGTACAGAGGAGCTTACACTCTAATGTCCCCTCCCCCACAGTCACATCAGTCTCTGTACATAGGAGCTTACACTCTAATTTCCCCTCACCCCACAGTACTTCTGCTGTCCCCCACCTGTGTAACCTCTCAAAGCCCAGCCAGGGAACAGCCAATGTAAATGGCTGATAAGCTGTGGCCCTTGGGGCCCGTACGCCGATCCTGAGTCATGCACCCCCTGGTATAGAACACACTCTTATAATACACAAAATGGCCTTTGTCTCCTCCCCGCGGACACTTGTTTCATCCAATGTTTTATTTTGGGGGGAGACGCTCTGCTAATTTTTGTTAATTGCCGGAACGTTTCAAAGCGAAGGGAATTCTTCCTACCGGAGGAGAAATTTCACTTGTCTGCAGATTTCCCCTCTTCTGGGACGAATACACACTTCACACTTTATTACAATGTATCAGAATTCAGGAGATGTTTTAATTATACAAGTTTATTGTTGTGTTTAAAGGTGGAATTCTACTTTTTTAAATGGGCACTCCTCCCCAAAAAGGTATGTCAGACCCTATGGGTGAAGCTCCCACCATACCTGTGCTGAGTTCCCGGGTCTGTACACCCGCTGTGCCCATTATGAGGGGTTCCCACCATCCCTGTGCTGAGTTCCCGGGTCTGTACACCCGCTGTGCCCATTATGAGGGCCCCCCACCATCCCTGTGCTGAGTTCCCGGGTCTGTACACCTGCTGTGCCCATTATGAGGGGCTCCCACCATCCCTGTGCTGAGTTCCCGGGTCTGTACACCTGCTGTGCCCATTATGAGGGGCTCCCACCATCCCTGTGCTGAGTTCCCGGGTCTGTACACCCGCTGTGCCCATTATGAGGAGCTCCCACCATCCCTGTGCTGAGTTCCCGGGTCTGTACACCTGCTGTGGATGTAATTCATTAAAGTTGTTTTTGATTAAATTTGAATTTTTGGAGGTTTTATCTGATTATATATTATTTGTGTATTGTCTCCACATGCAGCTGAAGTATAAGGAAAAGTACCAGACACAGATGAAGGGTCACTATGAGGGCACGGGGATGGACCGGCGGATGCTGCACGCCATGAAGGCCGGAAGTCTTGCCAGCAATGTGAGTACACCGATCACCAATCAATAGTCAATCAACTAATCATTTGTCTAAGCAGCAGCCCAGAGAACATACCGAGGTCAAACAACAGTGCTGAAAAGCCATTATGGCAGCTGGTCCCCCATCCCCCATAGAAGAGGTGCAATACATATTTGTTTCTACATAATATATTCTGACTCCGATCGTTGTGATAGCGAAATATATCCCTTGCTGAGACCTCTATGCCAAATATAATTTACAAAAATAAGTAAGTTAGTAGAACATTGAAACCCAAAACATGAAGGAGAGGACTTTAGATCTAAATATTTGAGACAGGTCTCTATCAGCCGGGATGTCCTTGTGGGTCCCCAAGGAGGAGTCTAAGATGTGTGGAGAGTTTGAGCAGAAGAGAGAGAAGCTCCCCATTCATCAGGGATGATTTATCTCTATCTGGTCACCCATCATTGACTGCCTGACCGGCGATGCAAATGAGATAAATCCTCCCCTGATGAAGAAGGAGGCTGTTTCTTCCCTTGTGCAAAATAGAGATTTACTGGACTGTAATTGTGGTGCTTTCACTCTCTCTATAGTTCTTATAACACGCAAAATGACACCCCTGTATTGACTAGTGACGCGTTTCATCATCTATTTCTAATGAAAGCTTTATGAGTGACTGTAACTTGTGTGTCCCACCGCAGCTCGCCTACAAGTCGGACAAGAATGACACCGCTGACGGCGAGTATTATTACCCGGCTACCCTCGCCCCGTCTTATCAGACCACCAAGAGGCTGGAGCCATTGAAGGATGTAAGTCGCAACACACATCTGCTCTTATTGATTATTCTCTATAGAATTGCACATACCACGATATGAGTGTTCTGGGTATTGGGCACCTCCCCCCCCCCCCATAAGAATATATACGAACAATACATGAAAGAAATTGCTGGGGTTGTCACGGTGGCCTAACTATAAACTAAATGAACTACTGAACTATAAAAGGGGAGATAGAGAGATACAAAGTAACATTGTTTATAAACATTGATCAGAGGGAGATGGAGAGATACAAAGTAACATTGTTTATAATCATTGATCAGAGGGAGATAGAGAGATACAAAGTAACATTGTATATAAACATTGATCAGAGGGAGATGGAGAGATACAAAGTAACATTGTATATAAACATTGATCAGAGGGAGATAGGGAGATACAAAGTAACATTGTATATAAACATTGATCAGAGGGAGATAGATACAAAAAAAGTGCAACATTTTAAAAATAATCCTTTAGTCCCTTTGTAAATTACTTTATACCAGAATCATAATCGCGTTGTTTCCCCGTATCTTCAGAAACAAATCACTTCTACTGTCGTGGTAACCAACCCGCTTCCCTATTTATAATGGTCTGGCCCTCTAGCAACTTCAGCGCCAAAGTGATACAATTTGGGACGATTATGTATCGCGAGAAGTGAAGAACGGCTTCATACTGCAAGAGCTAAAAATAAATAAATAAAGAGGTTCCCAATGTGTAATGTCTTTAAAAGTAATTTCTAAAAATCCAAAAGTTTATTGACAGCAAAAAAAAAAGAAAAGGGAAATGTCTAAATCGCTCTTCAGTTTTTTTTCATCGGGGCCACGAAGAATAAAGAAAACCCAATGGGAGTTCTGACCCCTCCCCACTCTACCCTTAATACTAGGGAATTATCTTTTATTTATTTTATTTGTATTATTTTTTTATTATTAGATTTTTTTAATTTTTTTTAATTTTTTTACTTTACTGTTAGGGAGGAGTCTAAACAGACCCCTGATATTTCCCTTTTAAAATGAAAAAGAGATTGTGGACACAAACTCCTCAATCTCTTTTTCTGCAGCCCCAGCACTCAATGAACAGGAAGCAGCTCAGTACAGAGGCTTCCTGTTCATTCACAATCTGGAGATGGTAAATATTTACTATCAACCCAGTCATGAATAGACTGGAAGCCTCTGTACTGAGCTGCTTCTCATTCATAAAGTGAGCAGATAGTAAATATTTACTATGTCCCTATTCATAAATGAACAGGGAGTGATGTACAGCACTTCCTGTTCATTCATAACTGGGGAGATAGTAATCACTATGTCCTCAGTTATGTGTAAACATATTTTCTTTCTTCTCTGAATGGTGAACTCGATGGACTTTTTCAACCTGACTAATATGTAACTATGGGGTCTATTCACGAAGCTGCCGAAGGATCTAGCCGTAGCTTCCTTCGGCTAGCTTCGGCCCCAGAACCCCTTCGGTTGAGTAGAACCGAAGGGGTGCTGTACGGGCTATTCACTATAGCCCGTACAGCTCCCGAACATGGTCGAGCGGCTCAGTCGAGCCGAACGCATATGCATCGGCTCGGCTGAGCCATGCTGAAAGCCGAAACTGGCCGAAGCTGTCACTGTTAGCTACAGAAGAGAAGCACCGCTGTGTCTTTTTTTTCTTTATTCTGACACGGAGCGATGTCAGAATAAAAAATAAATAAATACAACATTTTTTTCCCATTGAAATACATTGCTACATTACTATTGGCTATATCAATTTGCAATAGCCAATAGTAAACTAGCATTGTACCCGCCCTCTGCTGCAGTTCCCCATCAGGTCCATCAGCAGAGGGCGAGTATAATGCTAGTTTACTATTGAAATTTGCACCAATAGCAAAAATATAAACACATCGATTCAATTTTCTTTACAGGGCCAATGAATGAATCATCATTTTGTCTCTTTATTGACTTCTGTTTATCTTTTTAGTTGAATTACAGAGCAGAGTATGAAAAATCCAAAACGCATTATACAATTTCTCAGGATGGCCCAGAATTAAAGAAAGCAAAAGCCAACGCGGAACTCTACAGTGAGGTAAATACTGACCCTAATATGATATATAGAATGGGGATATGATATATAGGGTGGGAATAAATTCAGGCTATTTTTACACTAAATTTAGACTACAATACTATATAAATAAATATGTTATCTCTTTATATCTTAAAATCCCATTGTTTTTGCATTAGTATATTCTTAATTTTTCCTTTGTTACTTTTAAGGCAGGGGTGGGGAACCTCCGGCCCCTCCAGCTTGTGGTGAATCTACAAATCCCATGATGCATCTGTCTCTGAGAGTCATGCCTGTGGCTGTGGGAATCTTGCAATGCCTTAGGGCAGTGGTGGCGAACCCTGGCACCCCAGCTGTGCCAAAACTACAAATCCCAACATGCATCTGCCTCTGGGAGTTATGTCTGTGGCTGTCAGAGTCTTGCAATGCCCCATGGGACTTGTAGTTCCAAAACAGCTGGAGTGCCAAGGTTCGCCACCACTGCCTTAGGGGATTTGTAGATTCACCACAGCTGGAGGGCCAGAGGTTCCCCACCCCAGCTTTAAGGGGTTCATTTATCTTCTAGTAATTTCCTCTGCTCGTCAGCGCCATCTAGGGTTGCTGGTGCCGTACGAACGGCATCTGCCCAGCTTATAACCTTTATAAATAAACCCTTCAATGAAGGATAAGGGGCAACATTGGGGAACTTGATTTGGAATCGGACTGAGCAATTTAACCATTGCCAAAATATTGTCAGAAATCGTTCACAATATTACTTTGTGGCACCGCTGGGCAAAAATAGATTGAAACATTTCTCCTATGCTGTGTGACGTGGCTTCGTTTAGAAACAAAACTGTGTCACTGGCTTGGCTGTGTTTCTTAGCAATGCCATGTGGTCACCAATGTCAGGGCTGATCGATGGTGATCAATGGCTGCCTTGGCAGATGCCACCCTCCTTCTTTCAAGGTGTACTCAATGTGCAAATACTTTTCTTAAAAACGTCAGGTCCAGGATAGGTGAACGGAGCTTCTGTAACCCTTAGGAGCTATATAGGGCCCATTGCTTTTAGACTGTAAGCCCTCACGGGCAGGGCCCTCCTTACCATCTTGTCTTAAATTGTATTGTGACTGTAATGTCTTCCTTGTATTGTAAAGCGCTGCACAAACTATTGGCGCTATATAAATCCTAAATAATAATAATTGCACCCTACAAAACACCAAAAACCACTGATGCCAAATGCCAAAATTTTTCCAAAATTTTAGTGATATCGCTGAAATTTTGGCAAACCCCCCAAAAAACTTCCCAATTTCTCTCATTAGTAGTGATAACCACATGGATTGGAGGTGTTTATATGGCAAGTTAGAACTGACGACCTATACGGTTGGGCGTGTCGTGGTGACCCCCAATGTTTTCTCCTCTCTCGTAGAACAAGTATAAGGAAGAATGGCAGAAGACAAAGGGTCAGAACTTTGAGATGAAAATGGATTCTCTGTCCTTCACCTCGGCCAAAGCATCAGGAGACCTCGCAAGTGATGTAAGTGAATATTGGAGATGCC